TAGAGAGAAAGAAGGGTTAAGTTCAAGAGAACCTTAACCCTTGTGTTATCCTTATTCTTTTGGTGCCAAAGAAAGATGGCCATGGAGGATGAGCACCGTTTATAAAAGCCATCATTAAATAAAGTATAGGCACCCAATCCCTAAGCTAGATGATTTGATGGATGAATTGCATGGGGCCACTAAATTTTCAAAATTTGCTTATGTGCTTGGTTGGTGATGCCTTTTTGGCTTCCCCAATGCCCCTAACACTTTCATTCATCTAATAAATCATGTACTTAAAGGATTGCCTAGGAAAGTTTTAGTAGTTTATCTCAATAATAATTATGGTCTCACATCTTTTGAAGGGACCAATGGCATGGATGAGCTTAAAGATTTGAGGTCAAATCCTTCCCAGGAAGGAAGGGATGATGGAGGACCATCCTTGAAGTTTCATGTGGGACCCATCACTAGGTCCATGGCTAGGAGATTGGAAGAGGATAGGGGAGATAACACCCTAGAGACATACTTCTTATGGCTATTAATCATTCTCTTAAGCCTTGTTAGCATTGAATTTAGTTTATTCCTATTTTACCCTTGTCTTTAATTTCATATTTTACCCTTGTATTTTGGGTACCTTAGACATAGAATTTATTTTTCTTTTATTTCCTATTTTACCCTTTTATTTTGGGGTGTCTTAGTCATAGGATATATTTTTACTTGTATTTCCCATTTTACCCTTGTATTATGGGGTGCCTTAGATTATAGGATTTTTTATTTTATAGCTAGAGTATTTTATTAAGGTTGGAAACTAGGCCTAGACATGTTTTTTGGTGGCATTGGATTTATTTTTGGACTTGGCAAGGCTTAGGCCCAAGTGGAAGGCACCTAGGTTGCATGGTCTTATCATGCACCTAGATATAGCTTAACCAAACTCAAAAATTCCATTCTTGGCCACCAAGTAGCATCTAGGGTTAATTTGGGTTTCATTTGAATTGCATTTGGCTTGCATTACTTGACCATGCACTTTCAAATGTAACCCTAAATGCATCCTCCCTTTTATAAATACCCTAGGCTAGCCTCCTTGTAGATACTTTGAAATTTATAATATTGAGTGAGCTTTGTGCCTTAATATTTTCCTTAGTCACTCTTGGCTAATATTTGGCCAAACCCTACCTATCTTCACCTTGAGAGAAACCCTAGAAGTGGCCTTCATCATCCATGGAGTGAGCCAAACCCTAGAGTACCTTCTCAAGCCTTTCATCAAACACCTTCTATCCAACCTCCATTTTCATCCTTTCCTCCATCAAAGACGTCAATCTTGAAGAACTTGATCCAAGGAGTCAAGGCTTCCTTCACATTGGTCATCATCTCTCCATCAATGCTAGTAAGGATGCCATCACACGTTCCACACACTAGTCATATTTTTAGCATCTTGTCATATGGCATACTCTTATTGGGTCTTCTAGACCTGGGATGTTGTCATTTAGTCACACCTTTTGCACCTTGTCATGTGACATGCTCTTATTGGCTCTTTTAGATCTAGGATAGTGGCATTTTTAGGAGGAAATTCAAATTTAAAATTGTGACTAAAGTTAGTTGGCTTGAGTACAAATTAATCTAATCTTGGTTACATGCAACCATGGTTAGCTTAATTTACACCACAAGCTACCAAAATCTATATATACATTCGTCCTATGTGTATCTCGCCACTTTTAATGTGAATGAGAATTAGACTTCTAAAATTCTCTGTTCAAAAGCTATGCTCTATTCTTGAGGAACCTTTTCTTAAGAACTTTTATGAAGGACTTTCTCCTTATGACATATTTAACCATTTTGCTTATCCTTTTCTTAAAGGTTGCACACCATTCCTGCAACCACTCCACCATTTTTGTTTGGTTTATGTGAAGCTTGAGTCAATGGAAGAAGATTGGAGAAGTAATGAAGCTAGTTGAGAGGATTCAGATTCCACCTTCCCCACTAGATTCATTAGATTGCTTGCAACATGATTGGAATCAGCTACCATGATTAAAAGTGACTTGAAGAATCAACGAGTAGGATCGCTTGCAATGCGATTGCAATTAACCACCATGATTAGAAGCAACATGGGGAATCAACAATTAGGATTACTTGTAACACGATAGCAATCAACCACCATAATTAGAAGTGACCTAAAGATTCGTCAAATAGGATCACTTGCAACACAATTACAATTAGACACTGCATTTAGAAGCAACTTAGAGAATCAACAAGTATAACCTCTTACAAAATGATTGCAATTGGCCACTACAAGTTGAAGCGACTCAAAGAATCAATGAGTAGGATTTGCAACATGATTACAATCGACCGTCATGACTAGAAGTTACTTGGAGAATCAACAAGTTGGACCGCTTGCAACATGATTGCAATCAACATCCACTATAGAAGCGACTCAAAGAATTGACGAATAAGACCATTTGCAACATGATTCCAATCGGCCACTACTAAGTGTAGAAATCTAAAAAAAATACCGACTTGAAATAACCACCTTCAAAAGCTTCTTTCAAGTGAATGTGTGATGAAATCAAACATTTACAGTCATGCCCTTACCTCTTGGGAAAATGTTGAGTGGAGGTTGTGAAATTGATAGCTTTCTTGCACCTTGTACTTAAGGTTGGGGGGCTTGTGTATCCTCTCAAAATATTGTTGAGTATAGGTTGTGAACTTGACAACTTTTTCACATCTTGTGCTCAAGGTTGGAGGGCTTGTGTACCCTCTCAAAAAAATGCCGGGTGGAGGTTGTGAACTTGACAGCCTTCTTGCACCTTGTACTTAAGGTTGGGGGCTTGTGACCCCTTTTGGAAAAATTTTTTACTACCCAAACCTTGTGTAGGTTGATTACTAATCTCCTCCAAGCTAATTTCCTAGTCTCCCTAGACCGACTACTTTGTCTCTTTTTGGCCAATTTGGTTGTGTATCCTCCTGGCATCTCATTGAGAGAGTGCTCTGACTTAGCCACTATGCCTTTCATTCTTGAGATTGGTGGGTAAGTGTACCTTCTTAGTCTTTTGTCAAAAAGACCTGACTGAGAGAGCTTAGTTGAGTACCCCACAAATCATACAACAACTCGACATTTGGTCGACTCAAGATCCTTATTTGATATAAAATCTAGTCATTAATGATTATAATTAAGTAACTAAAATACGTCATTCATTATAAGGTGAATTCTCACAAAATCCCTAAAATTTACAAGCCAACAATGACCAAGGAACAAGTATAAAATCCTTAATCTAGGACAAAGAAAAATAAATTATACTTTTGAATCTTTGATTTTGGATAAATGTTAGATTATCTCTATTACATTTTCTAGACCAAGACAATTTTTAAAAAGGTGTATACAACTCAAATTAAACATTTTTTTGAATTTTAAACTATAATTTTGATAACTCCTAGAAACTATAAAAAAAGAGGGTAGTATTAAGAAATCAAATAGCTAGTATTGGTAAGAACACTCTAGCCGGGTCTTTTGATCTTGGCAATTGGACTTTCGAGAAAAAGATAGAGCCTTCAAACATTAATACACACAAGGAAATCTTTTATGAACTCGTTGTTTTTGGGAAAGTTCTACCATAAAGTAACAACTTGTGTGCCTCATCGATGATGAGACACTAAATTGACTGGAAGTATCAAGTTTTAAATAGAAGAAAAAAAAATTGTTAAAAACATATTTTATTTTGTAAAGTTTCCTTACTCCTTCATCTGATTCCATAACCTTTTCTCTCCTCTATGACTCTCTTCCTATGCAACCACTCACCTTCCAAACTTCCTTGGCCTTTGTAATCACTTTGCAATTGCATCTGCCTTGCATGTTTAGATTAAAGCCCGTCACATGCTCAAAATGCTTGCGTGAACCATTCATGTAGATCTCATTTTTCTTGTTTGCTTTCATAGTGGCCAAGAGGGTGAATGTGGATAGTCGAATGAGGGAGAAAGGAAAGTTTGCCATGGGTGAAAGGAGAAAAATGCATGCAAGAAAACAAGGAACCAAAATGTGGTGCCAAAGCAAAACATATTTTCTTATTCTTCATTTTTTATCCTTTTGAAATTAGACCACAAAATCGTAAAGATTAAAGATTTGATTTAAAAAATTGAAACTTTATATCAATTTGTTTCTATTGGGGGTAAGGGTGTTCATGGATCGGTTTTTTGAAAAATTCAAACCGAACCGAACTGAACCGTTTTATAAAAGTGGATCAGTTAACCGATCCATTTTTTATAAAGTGGATCGGTTTGGTTTTTTAAAAATATGGATAGGTTTTTTTGAAATTAGATCGGTTTGGTGCGGTGCAGTTATCTATTTTTTACTTATATATGGATCAGTTTTTTAAAAAAACCAAACCGAACCGAACCAATCCACTTTCTAAAAATGGACCGGTAAACTGAATTGGTTTTATAAAGTGAATCGGTTCGAATTTTTTTTCAAAATGAATCGAATTTTTCAATATGTATCGGATTGATTATGGATCGATTCGGATCAATTTGAACTTTTTACACACTCCTAATTAGGGGTAACGATTGGAAAGAGAAATAGGCAAAGTATAACAAAGAAATAAGCACCACTGTGTACAACGACAATTGTATATTCAGGGAGTCAAGAGGTTTGGTAGAAAAAAAAGTAAGGCTCAATATAACAAGACGTAGAGTTTAGGGTGATGTTTCTCAAAGATTTTTAGTAATTAGAGATCAGTTAGAAAATCAATTACAATTAACTTAATTAAGAGTTTTTTTACTAAATTTATAATTATAAAAAATGAAATAAAAAGCAACTAAATCAGATAATCATAAATAATCTTAACCATTAAACTTTTTAATACTATATCTAATAGTAATAACATATAATCCATCCATATAAGAATAATTCAAAAAGTTTATTGAAAAATAAATATATTGGGCCAATAACACGGCGACAAACAAAAACAATAATCCAATGGGCCTTCAAAGGCCCAGCTTGCTCCATTCTCTTCTTTCTCTCTTCGCTTTACCGTCCCTTCTGAGTTCTGAATCTCATAAAACCCTTCCGAACTCGAGCAAGCTGGAAGCACTCTGAAAAATGGCTCACACGCTAATAAGAAAATGCATAAAACCATCTTACCCCAATTTTCTGACGTCACTGGCGGTCCCCCAGATTCGGCGGCGACTGGCGGCTGGGGCGGCGGCGGCAGAGGAGGCGGCGCAGTCGTCGTCGTTCACGTTTTCGGGGGAGGGGGAGAAGGTGCAGTTGAAGGCGGGGGGGCGGTGGAAGTGGTCGTCGTCGGTGACGATGCCGACGTCGTTCATGACGGGGTCGATCGTGGGGAAGCGGTTCTACAAAGAGGTGAAGACTCGAGCGGCGGATGATGGGAACGGTTGGACGGTGATGCTTGATTACAGAACCCTTAAGACTCCTTCCAAGAGACCCCTCAAGCTTCCCTCTCTTTCTCTCGCCAAGGCCATTGCTGCTGAATGGGAATATCAGGTTTCATTTTCATCTTACCCCTTCTTTTCTACTTTTTTTTTTTTTTTATTTCTGTTTTTGTCTCAATTGTTTTTTTCCATTTAAGTGTACCAAAGTTGACAACTATAATTTGTAATCCCAAGATGTGGCTTTTGTAGTCTTACGGTGTGAATTCTGCTGAACAAACATTGTCTCTCATTTCTTTTAATATGGCTTTTAGTGGAATAAAAGAATTGGTTTAGAGACTATGAGCTTTAGTTTTTGATCATTGAAATTATAATGACGGTATTAGAGTTCGAATTTTGTAAAACCTAAGAGCTTATATCCTCTATTACTAGACTGATCTTAGTGATTCTACTGTGAGTTTGTTTGGATATAAGTTATAAGTGTTACTGAAAGCTTCTGTGACGCACACTTTTAAGCTTCTATGCAATGAGGCTCTATGTGGATAAAATTCTCCATACTTATAAAAGGCTGGTCTAAAGACTAATAACACATTCTATAAAACAATCATTCTCATACAGTCTTCATTGTTAGTTAGGATTTATTGAAAAATACAAAACCAGGAGGGAAGTTTATTAAATATTAAGTGGGAAAAAGTGGGTCAAAGAGTGGTGTTTTGACTTATGTACTTTAATTTTTGTAGAAGGTCTGTAGTCTGACTTCTCTGGGTGGGCAAGTGCTTTCAATTTATAGGAGAAGTTATATTAATTTTACCTTGTTTTTTTTTCTTTCTATAAGTGTTAATGAATAAGTTTATCTAAACATGATCGGAATGTTATGTTGGACGAGTGGACATATTGGGAGTTTAGGATTTAGGAATCTGTGTTAGACATGATTTACGAGTGAACATTAAACAAGGTTATGCTCAAATTTTGTGCTCTCCTTTCTGTTAAGAGAGATGGGTTATGAGACCTATTTGTTGAGGGAGAAAGTGGGAGAGAGACACAATATTTGAATATGAACTTTTTGTGTGAAACTTTTAACGCGATGAGATTCATTTTCTGTAAAATAGAGACGTGCTTAGGATTTTGACTGTATTTTCTGCCATGCAAACTAATAACAATGGGAAGGATTGGTCGAGAGGCTGACCATGTTAATTTATAATTTTTATCTGTATTGTGATCCAAAGCAGAGTATATTTGCTATTTGAACTGCCACAGGATTATTGGGCCTAGCTGATGACTGAAAAATGTCCACCCTGTGAAAATTTAGACCTCACATTTGCCCTTCAATGTTAGCTTATGGCTGCTTTTGTTATAATTTTGCACTATCCTGATTCCTGAATGCCTGGGCTGCCTCGTGTCTCTTAACTCTTACAATAATACCAAAAGAAAAATAAAAGAGATGAGTATGTCCTGCTTTCATGAAATCTATGAATTTTGTTTCCTAATATTGTATTTCCTCCTGGCAGTGTTAAAATAATTTGAAGTCTCTTGGTGGGGTGGTATAGCTCATGCCAGCCTCCCCTTCAATATGATTATATGACCCTTTAATCACTATTCAAATTAGTTAAATGGTCCCGATTTATTTGAAGCTGTATATTCTGTTTAATATGGTTATGATGCTTAGGATTGTCACTTAAAGTGGACTGCTAATGAAGTTCGATTTATTATAGCAAACGGATGGCATAAGACCTTTCACAATGCCTCTTATGAGACTTGCTTGCACTGCTTTGGAAAGAGTTCCTCTCACAAGGGCCAAAATTATTGACAATTTGATGAAGAAATTTAATCAAGATTTAGTATTTTGTCGTGCACCCGATGACAATGATCTGACAAGCAATGTACATGGTATGGTATCAGTTGATAACTTGATGTCTTTAAATAAATTTATGATTGCCCAATGTAAATGATACTTGTTGATTACATTAGAATTCGGCTAGTTGAAGTCATCATCTTAAGATTATATTGTAAAAAGCATTTTCATAGAGCTCTTTTAAATTTTAATTTATTATTTTGGTTGTGTGGATTTCATAGATTATATTGTATCACTAAGGGTGTCTTTGGTAGAATGATAGGAAACAGATGGAAAGGAAGCGTATAGAAGAAACTAAGTGAAGAGAAGACGAATAGAAAATAGAGTAGAAATATAGATTGTTTGGTTGAAAAGAAATAAAATGAAAGTTAATTTATTTAGAGGTTATTTAATTTTAAAAATAATAAATAAAGATTATTTTTGTTATTCTTCTTCTTCTTATTATTATTATTGTTATTATATTATTATATTATAATGTTTTTATTTTATATTATTTTTATTATAATAATTTTGATTTTGCTCATTAATATTATTTTTATTTTATCAGGGAGCCGATTACTTTATGGGTTATAAATAGGAAACAATCGTTATTTGATTATGTTGCCATAGATCGTGAAAAAATGTAAACAAAGGCAACATAATCAATTTGCTGCAATCTAGCATTATATTTCTGTGCACCTCGCATTTTAATGAAAAAGTTTTTTAGCACTGATTTCCATGCTTTTCTCTGTTATTTCTCGTTTACCAAACTGTGGTAAACAGTGCTTTCTGCACTTTTCTTTCATCTTCTGCCCCACTTTCTGGTTACCAAACAAAGGGTAAGAGTATTTTAGCCTTACCTACCTAGAATTGTTAGTTTTTTTCTTTCAATGTTCTTGTTGATCAAAGGTATATGGATTAAGAAGCATCTCATTGATTTTGAGTCAATGTATGGTTTTGAATTTAAAATTGTCTTTGCAGATCGCCAGGTGGAGAAAATTGATCCGCTGCTTCGTTGGGTGGAGTCAGAATTTGGCTTTAAGCCTGTTATTTACTCGAGCTTTTTTGGTGGAAATCAGGAAGATGGTCTTGTAATGGCTATAGAGAACCTTCTAAAGAAAACAGATGATTGCGAATTGGCAGCAATTGATGCTATTGCAGCATCAGCACATTCATTAATTATTGCTATTGGAATGGTACAAGGAAAGTTGCAAATTGAGGAAGCAATTGAACTTATTAGACTTGAAGAAGATTTTCAGGTACTTGCTTACATGAGTATCACTATAATTTATATTGTGCTTAAATATTTAAGTACAGGACATAATGTTAACATGGTCTGTGAAATAAAACTGTCTTCATTCTCTGTTTCAGGTGGACAGATGGGGCCTCGTTGAAGGGGGCCATGATGTGGATATCGCTGATCTAAGGGTGCAGATTTCATCACCAATTGTATTTCTTGGTTTGTCAAGAAGCTTATAGGTTTTTAACATCCTTTCATGCTTACCTTACCATCCTAAGAACTAGCTATCAAGCTAGAATAGGAAACAGAGGTTTGTTGTAATATCCAGATTTTTCCAGAGGTAATATTCTTGGGTTCGCATAATTTTATTTGTAGATGAGTTTTATTCTGGTCACAGTTTTGTCATGAGTTGAAATAATATAAACATGGCTTTACTAGGGCCCCATTTCTCCGGGAATAACAGGTAAACTTCTTTGTACAAGTGTTTAATTTCTGCTTTATAGGAAATAAAATTGTGGATTAGAAGATGATTAGGAAATATGATTATGCAATGGAGACTCATCGTAATTGACACCACGGATGAAGAAATGCATCTAGGATGACTTTTAATATTTCAAGCGTGATTTTTAAGATTGAATCAATTATAAATTTGGAAATTTCTCGGTTTATGTTTTTTTTTTTTTTTTTTCATTTTTTGAATTCCATTATTCACTCTGCCTATTTCATTCTGGACGTTTTGTTTGTTCTCTTATTGACAAACTTTGTGGTTGCCTGATGGGTGATTGCAAAGAAAATTCTAGCTGGTTCTTCGAATTGGCTAAAGAGTTTAGCCATTGTTCAAAGACAATCAAAGTTACTGGAAAAGTCCTCTGAACTTTGAATGAGAATAAAAGTGGCGTGAAGGATGTGATCTTTGATTTTATGAGTAGATTGTGTCAGCAAGTGCTGGAGATTCATTAAAACTGAAGAATTAACCCTCAAGTTAAATTGAATACAAGAAACTTGCTGCTTGTATATGGTGAGGGGTAGGGTACAGGTTCAACGGCTAATGTAAGTTTATCAACTGTAGCTCTCTTGCATATTTTAAACAAATACTTGGACCTGATCAACAAATAGGTTTGTGATTCAAGTAACAAGCTTTTTTATTTTTCCACCATCCATAAAGATAAGTCAACAATTCCATGTTAATGCACGTTCATCGAATGATGACCAGGAGATGATAAGCAGGACAAGAGGGATAAAAAGCGAAAAGTTAAAAAAAAAAAAAAATTCAAAGACTAATTGGTAGAAACCAGTATATTTGCAACGGCGGAAAATATATGCAAGTTAAATTGTCTAATTAAAAACATAAATAAGCAGGTATTTATGGTTGCTACAATTGACAAGATTAAGTGAATTGAGTTTTTTTATGATAAAGCTGAAATGAAAAGTGCAATTTTCTGAACTAAATAGTCAACAACATTGTGTCGCTTATTACTGTTGTCAGGCATACCTGTGTCCTTTTAAGGATCTTCTCGACAGCATAGAACACAAAGTGGAGGCTGTTTGGTGATGTCACAGTCACAACATGCTGTGTCGCAGTCATTGTTGCATCCTGTAGAAACATCGTGCAACTTTTGTAATTCTCACCCTCAGAATTTGGGGAAATTATTATTGATCATTGCTAAATAAAGTAGCATGAAAGAATGTGGATTACAAGCTTGTACTTTTTTCACTGCATTACCTATTATAGTCACATATTGAGATGATTGGATTCCCTCAGAAATCCTGAGAATTGAAAGGCGAGTGCTGCCTTGAACATCAAAAAAAATCATGACAACCATAAACCAGGCTACTGCTAAAGACTTCATGACTGTGATGTGATGGTGGTCTCTTACTTGGTATGAGATTAGCTCAATGGTTTGTGAAAATTCTCATTATTGTGTTATATAGGGTTCTCAACTGAATCTTTTTAAGTAATAAGAGAGCTAAACTTGCTTTGAAGTGTAAATCATTAAATCTCTTTCACATGTTCATACTTTTTATATAGGCTGGGATTAGATGTAATGATCATTCTGAAGTTGTGTTAATTGCGAATGCACATTTTAAGTCTACATAATTTGAAAACAGCCATGGCCACCCAAACATGCACTCAACTACCATACTCCTAACGTATCCACTAGGAACAAATAAAATATCTCAAGCTAATGTAGAAGACATGGCAAATCTTAAACTGAGCCGCAAGCACCACTCAAATCATGCTGTACCAGAAGAAACAGTTAACGTTGATCAGCTTCTGCTGTCTGTTGATAAGGAAGGGTAGCATATTATCAAAACTATAAAATGACCCGCGCTATACTCGGAAATAAAATCTATTTATTTTTATTTAACTCCAGCCTTTGAAACTTTAAAATGAAATAAAATTGCATCCATGCATTTTATAGATGAATGATACATTAAAACTTATAATGGCGTAAAAATTCATGGAAAAGATAAGTTTTGTTCACTGTGTGATAAGACAATTCTAAATTAGATTAGAAGCTAAATTATATTTTTGCTTTTCTATAATTTTTATCCTACAATTTTGGGCTCTCCATTTTTCAATTATCCAATTTTGATTCCCTTATTTAAAAAAATTTCCAATTTATATCTAACTTCTAAATCTGCTTACGTTGAATGTCTAAATTCGAAGAAATGGTCATGCAGAAAGTGACAATTGAGTGTATTACATGTTATGTTATTACATGCATTTGGCATAACAACTATCGCCTTGAAGATTATATACTGATGCATTACATGTATGAAGATTTGATAGTTAAATCAAAATTCTAGATTTTTCGTGAGATTATTAAGTAAATAATAAGTATAATTAAAGAGGAGGAATTTCCTTATTTTAAGAGTAAATCTTGGTAAACTCAATAATTCATATTTTACATCAAATTTTAAAAATTTAATTGTTAAATTAAAAGTTTTTAATATATAAATTAACTTTACAAATTAAAAAAAATAATTTGATAATTTATTTTATTATTATAATTAAATGGTTATATTGTAAAATATAATAATACATTAAAATTTATAAATATAATTTACATTTATTAAATGTATTGGTTTTCATATCTATTTATATACATTCAAAATATATTATTAAAATAAATATTTTATCATTCATCCTAATTATAATGACAGTATCAAGATTTGAACTTAAAATCTTATGTATATTATTTCAACTTCTCATCATTAAGTCAACCATAGTGATTAGATAAAATTAATATAATATTTTATTATATTAATAAAATATTATGTAAATATATAAAAAAGAAGATTTATTCTTGACATATTATTTATTATAAATATTAATTCTAATGTATTATTTATAAGATAAAAAATTAAAGTAATTTCTTTCTTATGTAGTATTAGTTAATTTATTATTGAACATTATGTATTATTATCATTGGTATTATCGTAAAAGATTTCAACAAATATAATATATATTCATTAAATGTATTATTTTCTTATTAATATATTCAAAATATATTATTAGAGTAAAATAGACACAATTTACTTATATAAAAAATTATAAAACTTAATTTTCAAACCAAAATGAACATGCAATTTGAAAAAATAATTGCTCACAGAACTCACTTTTTTCGCACAATTTTTACTTTATAAAGTTTATCCGTTTGGATTGAACATTAATCAGACTTCATAATTTTCATGATAGAAACTCTAATAGAACAAAACTCATCATGTTTTGAGTCAATTAAAAAAGTTCAAAATTGTGCTTAAAAATTAAAAAAAAAATACCTAAAGAATAATATTAACTAAACTTTTAAAGTTAAATGATCAAAATATATATTTTTAAGACTAAAATAAACATTTTAATAGACCAAAACAGTTTTTTTCACGAGACAAAGGACCAAGATTTTAAACTTAGCATCATCTTCCTAATATTTTCTTTGATCATCATCCTCTAAATGGTCTTCAAAATTTGCTAGAAACAATGTACTCAATGCTTGTAACCTAAAGGGACAATCAACTCGAAAAAAACCTTCGACATTTATTTTAGACAGATAGAAACAAACGTGCCTCTCAATTTACAGTTGAAAGTGTCTTTATAAAAAATATAAATAAAAAAAACCCACGAAGAGTATTTAGCTTGTATGTCAGTATGTCGAAATCCAAAATAACTACAGACAATTTATGAGACGGGGTTCTCTTTGCTATTAACATTTATTTCAGAAACAAAAGTCAATATAAACTTAAAACCCAAGTTTTAGAAAAGGGGCTCAGGTTTTATTAAGAATATAGCTAAATCATCCCCAACTTTGAAGAAAATACAAAATCCCAACATAATATGATCAAAATGCAAACACCATCATGCTTCTAATGATAGAATTTCAAGCTTTAGGCTGAAGTGACTTGATATGTGAGATTTGCTTTCCTGGGTTCAACCCCTTTGGACAGGCACGAGCACAGTTCAATATTGTGTGGCAGCGATAGAGCTTAAATTCATCATTAACGGCCTCCAATCTCTCCTTAGTGTACTCATCACGACTGTCACTTATCCACCTGCAAATACCATCACAAACAATATCTCAGCTTTCAATAACCTAACTGCCAATAGATCTTTCTGTTTCCCCTCTTTTGAGGGGAGGGGTGAACTTTGGCCATTACTTTTGGCAGGCAAATTGCAACAAATTAACAAGGAATTTCAACATAAATTACTACCAATCTTTTTGTTGGTTTAACATTTACCAAGAGCTGGTAGACAACTAACATAGGCACACAGCAGGAGATCATATGCAATGAATTTAATAGAGAAGAAGTATCTTCAATATGTCTGATTAATAATTAAGTAAGAAGGAGCTTCAACTCTTTCATTCCTAATCCGACCAAGCATGATCTTATTGTCAAGATATATGCTCCTCTCTTTCAAACACCATTTACTATAACTGTACTTCCTACAAATATAACCATACGGACATGAAAATAAATTAATAATGCCTGTGGCAAGAACAGTGTGTATATGGAGGAAATGATCTGAAGTAATTACTGACTGACTTCCATAATTCAGTAAATATCAGCTATGTTGATTAAAAGAGCCACGCTAAGAATGCACAGTATTGCAGTTTCAAGTTTCAAGAACATTCCAAGAATCATTCATTGTAACATTCATATTAGAAACACCATGATGCTAATCAACCAGAACAAGTCACATACAACAATGAACAGATTTCAAACCAAAACAAGTCACATATACAACAGTGCATATATTTCAACGCTGCTGATAGAGATCCCCAATCCAAGCATTTAAAATAAAACTTAAAAAGGACAAAAAGAAGAAGCAATGAAGCAAATCTCTACCTAGAGGATTCTATTCAGGGCCAAGTATAAGGAAAGGGTACAGATATTCATAACTCATTTGCCTAGCTCATTTTTCTAAAAGAACTATGTTGAAAACTCTTCCATGTTTGCTGAAGCACAGAACCAGTATCAAGAACAGAAATTGAAATTAGTTACCACATAAAATCAGGAAATTGTGCATACTGCATAGCAGCAGAAATATCTCGAGAAGTAACACATGGAGTCACTAGTAACAGCAGATTCTTTTAAGTCCACAACACCCTCACAATATTTTGCATTGAAGTATAATCAAGACAAATGTTAAACAAACATACCTTTCTCACCCCAACAAAAAAGCCAATGGAATTACTAAAACACCAAGCATAATTCGACACACATGAAAACATACTAGTGTAATAAAATTTCAATCTAAACAACAAAGCATAATTATACAAACACAAACATAGAATCCAGCACATAGCGTCAAAAAATATTAATGAAATATGCATAAAACTATAACCACTTTATGCATCACATCAAGCGTGTTAAAAATTTATGGTTTTCTTTTCAGTTCCAGTTGCAATTGAAGTTGTGGTTGTGTTGTAATTAACAAAATTGGGAGAAATTGCAGACAAATGTGATGGCAATGAGGTTGTGGAGTCCTCAAAAACTGCAATGTGGAGGCCACAATTAAAGTGCCAGGCAACAAATTAAAAGCATGAAAGTCACTGCTAGACAAAAATTAATGAAATGGGATCCCTAATAGTCTTGCACAAATATAAGGACACGGACAGAAGTTTGATAATAAACTTGCTTAGTTGGTTCAAAGAGAAAACAACTAGCAACAACTATGGAGAGAAAACAACTAGCAATAATTATGGAAAAAGAGATGTAAAGTACTAATCATAAAATGTGCTAAGTGGGTTCAAAGAGCTATTATGATAAAGATTGTATAGGTACTGCGAAGTCCGAGAACAAAATAGGTTTCGTTATTGTGTTTCATAATCTTGAAAATATAAAAGGAAAAGAAGTATGCACAATGATGCTAATTGATCTAGACAAGAGACAAACAATTGAGTAGATAATATCATAATAATACCCTACTCTAATTCTCAAAGCACTTACAACCAAAATATAGGTAAAAATTAACAGAGAAAAAATTTCTTCAAAACAAAGAACAGACAAGCTAAGCTCCACCCAGAAGATCATATTCTTCCCATAAGTGAGGAAAAATCACTGAAATTTTTATTACTTTAGCCTCCCTCGTTTCTTCACAAACTTAAAAGAAAAAGGTGTTCCTCCAACTCTATTTCCTCTCACACCTTCACTTTAAACCAAGTAAATCAACGTAACAGCAATGATAGTACCAGAATATTGGTGGTGGGGTGTAAGTATTCAAGAGTAGGTTAAAGTCAAATATAAATATCATAAAGTTCGTTAAGTGTAGAGATAAAAAAATAAAAAAGAACAAGAACTGTGGGAAAAAAAAATATAAAGCAGTTAAGAGCCAGTTAGAATATTTTGTCCTGAAGTTATAACAGAAGAAAATAAAAATAAAAATAAGTCAAAAAGTAAACTGAATCAAACTTCTCACACAAATGCACCTCAAATTTCCCAAAAGCTCTTCCTCTGGGTTTTTCAAAAGCTTCAGAGCTCGACAAGCTTCAGAGCTCGACATTCTTGATAAAACTCTATTTCCAATAGAGTTTCCATCATAAAAGTTCTCCAAAACTCTTCTATGCTTATATCCAGAAACGCTCTTAGACCCTGTTTAGATGCAAACTTAGAAGCACTTTTTGAGAATTTTTTTTTTCTGAAAATAACTCTTTACTTTACTGAAAACAACTTTTTATTTTTAATAAAGAAACTCTAAAAACACTTCTAATTATCATTATTGAACTCTCAAAAGCGATTCTAAGCTTGTATCCACACATATCCAAAGTTTATCACTAAGGTTTTTCAATTGAAAAAGCTCCCACAACCTAAAATCCAATCCAAACAAGCCCTAAGAAATACACCACCGAGGCAGAGAGAGAAACTCACAATTATCCTGAAAACTCAACGCATGGTTTTCACAGCATCCTTAGATTCCCGTAACCAACTTCACAAGCAGTTAAATAAATAAAATTAAATTAAATTAAATTAAAAGCTTCCGTCGTAGTCATCGTACCAAACAAAAAACCCGAAATCCCAATCGAAGCGAACGAAAACCCTAACGAAAAGTTACCTATTAGCGTGGAGCAGCGCGGCAGGGCCGAGATAGGACTCGGGGTTCCACCAGTAGCTGGGGCAGGATGTGCTACAGCAGGCGCAGAGAATGCACTCGTACATCCCATCGAGCTTCTCCCGCTCCTTCTTGCTCTGCAGGATCTCCTTCCCGGGCACCGGCGGCGGCGTCTTCCGCTTCAGCCACGGCTCAATGCTCTTATACTGGTTGTAAAAGTTCGTCATGTCGACCACCAGGTCCTTGATCACGAACATGTGCGGCAGCGGCGTCACCGTCGACGCCGCGCTCTCCGACGGAATCTTCGTGAGGCACGCCAGGCCGTTGCACCCGTCGATGTTCATCGCGCAGGACCCGCAGATCCCCTCGCGGCACGAGCGCCGGAACGTGAGGGTGGGGTCGATCTCGTTCTTGATCTTGATGAGCGCGTCCAGGACCATGGGCCCGCACTCCTTCAGGTTGATCTGGTACTCCTTTAGTTCGGGCTTCGACGGGCTTTCCGGGCTCCACCGGTAGATTTGGAAGGTCTTCAGCGTGGGGGCGTCGCGCGCCTTGGGCTGCACCTGCTGGGCCTGGGCCTCCGACGCGTGGGCCCGCAGGAGGCCCAGCTTGAACGCCGGCGAGGACGGGACCCTCTGCGCCGCACGCTTCAGCAACCCCGTCGCCATCACTGGTGCTGCTGTGTTCTGTGGCGGTGTGTTGTGTTATTACCAAAATGGACACTCTGTTGGGGACTGTTGCGGTGTTGCGTTGTGGTGTGTTGCGATGTGGTTTGGGATTTATATGCCGTGGTTGGTTGGTGAATTCGGAGGAAGAATGGGGGTAGTTTGGGAATTACCAAAGGGGTTCGAGGAGGTGCCGGTGGTGACGTGGCGCGATGGGAAGCGTTTGTTGATGGAGTTACGTGGGGAACTTCGGATCGCGTTCATTGCAGGTGCGTGTTCACCATGCGACTCTTGCGTGTTCGGTCTTGCGTTAAATCTTCAAAATTAAAATTTGAGGCTATGGTTTTGTCCGAATTAAACTAAGGTTATGTCCAAAAAAATTCAATTTGAAATTAAATTTTTTTAAAATAAGATAATACATTTTAAATTAATTGAGAAACATAACATATGAAAATCGAATTATCATATACTTATTCTAAATGTGTATGTAACTAAAAATACAAATTTCAAGAATTAAGAAAATTAATGAAGTGTATAAATTTAGATTTTATATCAAATATTCTTAATTATATTTATTAAAATTGCACTTTTTATTATTGTCTTAAGATTCATTTTGAATTAAGAGAATCAAATAAAGTTTATTTAATTAAGATTTACGTCCAAAATATTTAAGTATTTTTTTACCTATATGTAGGTTTAAAAAAAGTAAAGGATTTCTTCAAAATAATTGTGTTGTAAAATATTTCCTTTTTCTAATTTTAAGAAATATTTTTAAAATTAAAAAATTAGAAATTTCAATGAAAATAAGTTTCAATGTATACTTTTTAGTAGTTAAATTATTTCATAATATTTTTTAAATTAAAAATTATATTTTAAAATTTTCTATATTTAGTTAAAGTTCATAAATAAGAAAATGTTTATAGGTTATTTATTTTTTTAGTGTATAAAAATAGGATTTTATATCAACAATTATTTTTATTAATATAATTTGCAGGAATGTCACGTAGGGGAATTGATTATTTAGTGGACAATGACAATAAACAAGAAGATCTTTGTTCTAAAGAGAGTCATTTTGAAGATCATATGTTTGTGATATTTTGAAGTATTAAAGCGGCTCAAAATAAAGATAAAGAAGAGTTTGTACAATCTCCATTGTCATTTCTAACTCCAAGGCTTGGGGATGATGATAACGAACAACAACCAATTTTTAATGTACTACAACCCTTAACTAGCATAGGCCATTTGTTCAAGGTTGTAGCTCATCTAGCTCTACCCCATTGATTCCTGGACCAACTGATGTGATTCAAGCTACAATGAGAAATTGACACTCTAAACAATCTTTGTTAACTCAACAAATTTTGGAAAATATTGACCAAGTAGCAAACATAATATTCAATGCAAACCCATGATGTTATGTTGTTCATTATATTAAATCACGGTGTTAGTTTGTATTTAAAGACTGAATGAAATATATTTTTGATGCATAATAAGAAAGTTACTAGCTTTTAAATTCATATCATGTAATTGGTACTAATTAGGTTTTGTAAGATATAGGATTGTTGGAAGTAACTCTTTTGAATTGCATTGACCACAATTTTCAAAGAGTATCTACTGTTGTTATTTTTGTTGATTCTATTACTCCAAATGCCATGGGAGATTATAGCATTACATTGAAGGTATTATTGCTCTAATTGGTATGGTCCAATTTCGTAATTGTGGGTATTTAATATTAGAAACTTTAATTTTAGGACCCAACTAGTACTATGGGTGCTAGTTTGCATTGCAAAGTTGCACAACACCCGCATTATTGGAAAGACATAATTGTTGGTTATGTGCAAGTTCTTAATAGTTATTTTATTATTTTGTTAATGGTTAACATATATTATGTAAATATTTAAAACAAATTGTACTTGTACTGCTTGTTGTATTTTCCATGCACATTTTCGTGACCCTTACTTCTTAAACATACCAAAAAACAATGTTAAAAGGGTAGGTGAAAAGTCAATTTTTTTATATTAATAAAAAATTATTTGTTAATGTAATTTTGTTTATATGTTTGAGTTTAAAATATGAAATATTATTGATAATTTTTTGTGTAGGGCTTCCTCCCTTTTATAAAGGGGAATAAAATCAAGTGAAGTAAGGAAACTAAATCCTAAAATAAGGAAAGAAAATATGACAATAATGAATTACCTAAAATAAGCTAAACTAAAAAAGGTAACAAAGTAATTATAGAAAATAAAGTAATTACTAGCTATACAAGGAAACAAATTAAACATATTAACCAAAATATTTTTAGGAATCAAATAATGATTTAATCCTCTTTTGACACCCTATCAATACTCCCCTTCAAACTAGCTTGAAGATGTCTTCCATGCTAGTTTGTTGTTTATGTTCTTAAATAGTTTATTGGATAATCCTTTGGTTAAGATATCTGCTAATTGTTCTTTAGTGGGAACATAAGTAATATAAATTTGTTCTTTTTCTATCTTCTTCTTGATAAAGTGCTTGTCAACTTCCACATGTTTAGTCCTATCACGTGGGACTAGGTTGTGTGCAATAGATATTGCATATTTTTTGTCACAATATAACTTTAAGGGTGGCAAATTGAAAATTTTCAATTCTTGTAGAAACTTTTCCACCCACAACACCTTACAAATTCCATGAGCCATTACTCTAAATTCAACTTCTGCACTACTTCAATTTTTGATTGGGATCATCTAGTGCTTCTTTGATGCTTCTAGACACAAACAAATTTGTAATTTTAGAGGTGAAGGCTTTGTGACTTTTGGAAAGGTTTTGGTAGGAAACATATTTGGAAATGGGATGGTTTGTGCTTGTTTTTGGTGATTTTTTTATGTAGGCTCTGGTTCCTTTTCGAAGGGCTATGGGCAGATTAGTATTACAAGTGGGAATTGTAGTATTACCTGAAAGATCTTGTGATATTTTTTTTATGCCAATTTATGGGGTTTATAGTTGGCATGATGTAGAGATAATGGATTGATTTCTAGTTCATTTAGGATATTTTTGAGTATAAGCATGAAGCTCTTTTTCTGATTGTGATATTTCTTAGGGTCCCTTTAAGTTTAGGATAAGATTTTCTTTATCAATTTCAGGATCTGTTTCCACATGTTCTTCCTTATTAAATTCATTAATTTGATCAACTAAAGTTGTATCCATAGTGTGCAAAAAAAGAGTGGGTAATAGTTCATGACAAAAATTGACACATCCATATTCTCCCCCTGAAGGGAATGTTTTTGAAAGAAAAACTGATGTTCCAAAAAGGTAACATCTATGGTAACATGATGTTTCTTTGTGATGGGATTAAAACATCTATAACCTTTTTGGGTGAGTGAATAACCAATAAAAATGTATTTTTCTGCTCTTGGGTCTAGTTTAAATCTAGAGGTAGAAGATGTATGTAAAAATATAGTACAACCAAACATTTTTAAAGGAAAACCAGCATGTAATTGACATGAAGGAAATTAAAAAAAAATGTCCAAAGGCGTGTAATTATTTTACACACAAGTGGGCATTCTATTTATTAGATAAGTTTTTGTTAGGACAGCATCCCCCCATAAACACTTTGGAACATTACTCTTAAACATGATGACACGAGCTACTTCAAGAAGATGTTTATTTTTTCTTTCAGCAATATCATTTTGTTGAGGAGTGTTTGGACATGTCGATTGATATTAAATGACTTTTATTTTGAAGGAATTCTTTGAGCTCTTATTAAAATATTTAGTGCCATTATCACTTCTCAAAAATGATATTTTTGTGTCAAATTACGTTTCTACCATTTGTGAGAAACATTTAACTATATTAGGAACATCAAATTTTTCATGTTTAAGGCAGAGCCAACACATTTGAATGTGGTCATCAATAAAGGTTATGAACCACCTTTTTTCCAAATTGGGTTGTAATTTTTTATGGATCCCATACATCACTATGGATTAAAGGAAAAGGTTTAGATGCATGATAAGGTTGAGAGAAGTAAAAAGTTCTATGACTTTTAGCTAGAACACAACTTTCACATTTAAAAGAATGGCAATCAATATTTTTGGATAAATTTGGAAACAAACGCCCACTACAAGAAAATTGCGAATTAGAGAGGGAAAGATCCTTCGCAAATTTCTCGCTAAACAAAATGGTGAAGGACTAACGAGAGATTTGCGAAGGACTATTCCCTTGCTAAATTCAAGTCACTAATTAGCGACGGCTGCATATCCCCCCGCAATTCCCTCGCTACATTCCTTTGCTTTTCCCTCGCAACCAACTTCGCTAGTTCGTTGCAAATTTGTGCTGCTAATTCGTCACTATCGTCTCACAAATGTAGAACCTAAATTCCCTCATTAATTGCATTTAATATTTCCTCGCTAAAACGTCGCAAAACCTTCGCAAGATATCCTTCACTACTTTGTCGCTACTCCATCGCAAAATATTGTTTAATTATTTCCTCGCTAATCTTTCGCCACTCCGTCACAATTATCACTCGCGATATTGTCGCTAATTCCTCGCAACTCTGTAGCAATATATCAATTAAGGTCCTTCACAAATCCCTCGCTAATCCTCTGCAAATATGTCCTTCGTAAATCCCTCGCTAACCCCTCAGAAATATGTCCTTCGCAAATCCCTCGCTAATCCCACGCAAATCCATCAAAGCATATGGATTGAGTTCCCTCGCGAATACCACGTTAATCCCTCGCGAAACCTTCACAACATATCTTTTGAGTTTCCTCGCGAATCCCTCGCTAATATCTCGCGAAACCTTCCTAATTTATCTATATATATACATTATTCTTTCATGAATCCCTGTAGATATGCCACTTAATTTGATATTTTAAATAAATCTAAATCAACTACATAAATTTTTTTTCAATTCGACATGATTTAAAATAAAAGTTGCATGTAACAATATCTCTTACAAAACCAAATTGTTAAATGTCTTACAAAATCCAACTTGTGCATACTATCTTAAAGAAACCCAAACTAATTAATGTCTTACAAAAAGAAAAGCCAAATAACGAGTCATCCTAAATAGTAATCAACCTAAGCTAGTAAAATCATCATCTCGTCCTTGATCCTCCCTATGTTGGTTGGTTGATGGTGTTGTTGATGGTTGAACTACCTGAATTATTTGCCTCATCATCTCTAATAATTGTGTTTGCAAAAAAGAGGCCAATGCATTATTTATAATTATAGTGACCCGTTCTTCTGTAATAGGCGTAAGATTTGTAGAGGAACCTGCAACCTCTGGAGATAAAGCTTAGGTAGAGCTACTAGTTCCAAGATCCAAGCTATGTCCCATGCCATGCACTCTTTTCTTCTTGTTTTCACCTGCAGCTTTTAACCAAAGATCAGAATCAATTACAGGATGAGATGAAGTGTCCTCTCCATATTTTTGTGTCATTGATTCTTCATATGTTTCCTACAAATAATAAAAAAAATAAGTGAAAAGCAAGAGGTTAAAAAAGTACATAATCAATCTTAAAATATAAAATAACATATAATAAATTTCTTTGCCCTAGTTGAGACAAATTCACCATCATTTTTTTTGTGAACTTTGTTATACACTTCACGTTAAGAAACAGAACGATTCTGTTGTGCCTACTGTTACAGTACAAATTGTAAGTAATGAAATTTACCAAAGAAACTCATTAATTTTCAAAACCTTCAACTTTCACAACTTGTTAAAGAATTAAAAAAAATTGCACTTAAAAAAAATCCATAGGTAAAGAAATTTTTTTAAGACATCATTAATAACACAATTTTAATTGTAACAAATTCCAAATATTAGCTAAATTAATAAATCTAAAAAACAAGTAACTTTTACCATGGATTATCTAAGTAAAACAATTATATTAGAATAGGAATAAAGCAAACATCACTCATTAATTATTGACAAAATTCAATATGATTTGATTACCATAGTTTTTTTGTGTTGCCCGAAGCTTCTTGACCCTCCTGTGTGCACCATTACTTTAGGCTAGGCAGCCCTATTTTGTCTTCCAGCAACAGATTTCTTTTGCCATTCTAGTGTCTTCCAAATGTCGATCAACCCATTCCATATTCCAGCTTTCATCCCTCTAGGCTTGTGAGCCCTTAAATCCTCATAATTTCTTGAGTTTGCTACTTTTATTGCTTTATCCCTGTCTTTACACAATTGATCAGAATACCTATCCATGCATGTTTTTTCCCAAACTTCCCTCGCCATCACACGATCATATTCTGATGCAAAACGATATTTTTCCTGCAATAATACAACTGAAGTAAAAAAAAAATAGTTGTTGATATAATGATATAATATATAATACTATTAGATTAATTACTTACCTTAAAATCATTAAATAACATTTCTTTCATTTCAGGGCAATAACTTTTCCAACAATCTGCAGCATAAGGCATCCTTGACATTACCTCAGAAATGATATAACGACTAACGAGTCACAAATTGTTGAGTAAACCTCTTCGTATAATTCAATTCAAACCACAAATAGTTCAATAACATGAATTTAAAGTATTAATCATATTCATAAATTCAATTTTACTTACGATTTAGAAATTGCCTCCACGGATATTATTTGCCTCCTATCAACTTCTACATTAGAATCTTCACTTGAAGGCACCATAGTAGGTTGTTGATTATCAGATGTTGGTATAGTATTTGATTCACCACCATTAATCAATGGGGTGGTATCAGATGATTGTCCACCACTGGTTGATGTAGCACCACCATTAGCTAATGAACTAGTAGATCCATCACCTAGACAAACATAGTAAAGAAAAGTTAGTTTTTATCCATTGCATTTAAATAAATATAGAGTTAATAATTAAAATGTTATTCTAAAAGTGTACGAGGTGAGTGATGAGAAACATGTGGTGGAGGATTCGAAGCAATTTGAGTGAGCTGATGAGGATTATTGGCTTGATTAACCCGACGCCCTTTTCCTCGAATAGTTGGCATAATGATTACCTACATAAAATTAAAACAACAAAAAATGATCATTTATATGGGAAATTAAAGTCATAAAGAACCACAAGTAATCAAATAAGGCAATACTAGTACCAATTAGAAACCCTTTTATCTATTTCTTATTTTAACACTAAAAAATGAGTAATTATGTGTAATGTGTTGAAACTAAAACCTTTTAGAATATATTCATCACCTTTCAAAATCAAGTTGTTAATCATAACTAGATTCTGAATCATATAATTCCTCATCATCTATGAACTCGTTAATATCTTCAATCTCATCATCTTCAATATCATCAATGAAGTGATCATGATGCAAGTTGTCCATTGGATGATGTATATCATTGTTGCCTACTTCTTCCATTGGAGCAATTCCATCAAACAATGGTATCGTCTCATCGTGTATAACACTTTGGTGTGCTCTTATGGATCCATCATCTTGGTAATAATCAGTATAAGTTAGCTCATTTGATCCACCAAATTCATCATTTAATGTTTCAGCCATAAAAAGTTTTGGTCTAACTTTGCAAGCTGCCTACCATTCATCACTAGATCTACCCCCACTTTGTCGGTATCTTGTATAGTAAACTTGTTGTGCTTGTTCAACTAAAATAAATGGCTCATCTGATTGAAGCTTTGATTTATGTTTGATATCAACCAACCCATATCTTTCATCAATAGTGACACCATTTAGGTCAAACCAGTGGCAGCGTAGGATAATTACTCTTTGATGTCCAAGATATGATAATTCTAATATCTCCTCAACAATTTCATAATAGTCTAAATCATTCTCACCATATATATTTCCCCGAACGCATACCCTACTATTCATGGTGGATTTATTATGTCCATAGTCCTTAGTATGAAATCTATATCCATTAACTATTAAGCCATTAAAAGAAGTTGCAAATTTAGATGGACCATAACTTATCTCTTTAATCATTTGATCATCAACTTGATTTGTACTTACCTGTAAATGATTTCAAAGAGAAAAAATGGTTGCATCACTTAGTATATATTATGACGTTAAAAAGAACATTATATACATTTATCAGTAAGTTGACTCACTTGATGTTTCAACCATTTACTGAAGTTTTTATCGCGAGTTTCCACTATTTCATCCTCATCAATATTGGGATTTGTTTCCTTTAGCGAATCCTCAAATTGTCTAATACATATAATAAATTTAATAAGAAAACTAATTTCACTATAAACTACCAAAATTGAGAAATTAGGGAGCAAACTTACTGGAGATAAGGTTCCACTTCTTTGCAATTTACAAGAACATATGTCTCAGCAATTTCAAGCTCTTTATCTGTTAATATTATTTTTTGACCCTTGCTAATAGGACGACATGGGTATTTAAAAATAGACAACTTATCATCACCATTGGTATCTTCACCACCATCACCATTTCGAGGAACTTGAGTGTGTCTTGTTTGTATAGTTGGATCAAAGTATATAGAAGCAAAATTAGAAATTTCTTCCACAATATAAGCTTCACAAATGGATCCTTCTACCCTTGCTTTATTTTGATCCTTCTTTTTCAAGTACAACATGCACCTCTCAAATGGATACATCCATCTGTACTGCACTAGTCTGCCAACCTTGGCTTCATAAGGGAGATGCACAATTAAATGTTCCATGGAATCAAAGAATGCTGGCGGGAAAATATTTTCAAGCTTGCAAATTGTTTCAATAATGGAAACCTTAACCTTTGTATCTCATAATTTTACCATTTTCATTTCGTTTTTGCGCAAAAATCCATTTGAATCCAATTGGTTTTACACCTTTTGGTGTACATAGTACTGGTCCAAAAACTTTTCGTTTAACAAGCGAGTCTAATTTTGCCTTAATTGCATCTTTCTATTTTGGTCAATCATTTCTTTATTGACAATCGTTGATGGACTTTAGTACTTGATCCTCAATATCATTTATTACATTTAGCGCTATATTATATGCAAACACGTCATCAATATTGACATTGTTTCGATTCCATCGTATTTCATTCATGACATAATTTATTGAGATCTCTTCATTTTTAATAATTTCAGGTACCTGAATTTCTTTTGGAATTGAAATATTAGTTATGTCAGAGGAATCTTTTTGAGTTTTTACATCCTCAATTTGGTCATTTTACTCTTTAACTCCCTTTTTTATTTGAGGATTCTTATCCTTGGAACCAATTGGTCTACCACACTTCAAGCGTATTTGTGACTCGTTTGCAATATTAGATTGTCCAACAGGGACTTCGACTCTTATTGAAGTATTAGTCACTAATACATATGACTTAGTCACCCTTTTTGGATATGTGAATACATTTGGTAATTGATTGGATAGATTTTGCAAATGAATTATCTTTTGAACTTTTAGTTCACATTTTTTTGTACGAGAATCAAGATAAGATAGTGATAATTCATTCCAACTAATATTTTTTTCTAGCTATTTGTGTTCTCCCCCTAATATTGAGAAAATCAACTCATTAAAAACATATATGAGATGTGAATTCACCAGCATTATCTAAACGAATTTTCTTAATTGAATAATCAGGAAAATAAGCTCTTAATCTAATTAGTTGAGTTAATAATCTCGCAAATGCCTAGTTGTGAGTTGATAATAAACAAACATATGACCATCTTGTTGATGCATCAATTAAAACCATAAAATATATAAATGGTCCACATGGGGGTGTATTGGTCCACAAATATCACCTTGTATCCGTTCTAAAAATAAGATAGATTCATTCCCAATTTTTGTTGGTGATGGTCTAATTATTAACTTCCCTTGGGAACAAGCAGTACATGAGAAAATATTTTATTGAAGTATCTTTTGGCTCTTCAATAAAATGTCCGCATGAATTTTTAATTATTTTTTGCATCATGATAGTCCTAGGGTGACCCAATCGATCATGTCAAACCTCAAATTTATTTTGATTTGTAAACTTCTGGTTTACAGTAGTATGTATTTCAATTGTATTAACATATGTGCAATACAGTCCATAGGAGAAAGCAAGTAATTTTTCTAATACTTCCTTTTTATTCAAGTGGATTTTCGTGATATAAAGATATTCTACATTTCCTTCATTATTTATTTCAATATGAAACCCATTTAAACGAATACTGTTGAAACTTAATAAGTTTCTATAAGACTTAGAAGAATATGATACATTTTTAATATGCAACTTCGTTCCTCCCGGTAACAATATATTAGCTCTTCTAGAGCCTTCAATTATATTTGTAGTATCATATAACATTAATTTCTCGTATTATTAAATATGAGAAAACAAAAATTAATACATTAGAAAATTCACTTCAGGGAATGAAATAATGCTAGTTAAAATAGTCTCTTGCATAAAAAAATCTCAATATTTTGTTTTAGCCTTCAAGAGACAATAAACCAACTAAGGATATTTCTTAATCCTTTTTTTATTTAAATATTGCTACATCTAGAGTAAAATAGATGTATGAAAAATATAATATATTTTTTCAAATTGAGAAATCATTATAAAAATGACATTCTTGTTATGTATCTTTAGACATCAATTTAATATCAAAATCTATACTAATTTTTTTTATATCATCTCATGTATATTAACTACAAATAAATGTTTCATACAAAAAAATATTAAAAACATATCTCAGTAACACTTTATTTTATCATTTTAGGAAATAAATGATACAACACAATCATATATTCATTTGAAGAAAAAAATTAATCATAACTTGTTTATGTCTTTCTTTATATATATATATAAATAATAAAAAAAAGACAAGTGAGTCATTCTCATTATATTTATTAAAAAAATATATTTATGTCATTGCTAGGTTGACTTTAAGGAGAAAAAATAATGCTAAAAATTAGAGAAATTATTCTCCTTATAAATGTTGTATCGAAAAAAATTAAGAAAATAAACATTGATCATAATTTCATTAAATTCTATATTTTTGTACAAATCACAATCAAATTATAATTCAATGATATCTCCATCAATTAAAATAATAGACGCATAACATTATGAAAACAAATAATATCAATTATATCAATAGGATTTGAAACCAAACCCTTTAAGATTCAATAACGTAACACATGAGTTCAATTACATGACAAATTGTTTATTTCAATCAATTTAATCATGAACAATATCAAATTTTGGATGTAGGAAAACTCATAATCTTTTCAAGAAATCACACAAAACCTAAATAGGCTTGAGGACACGCTTCGCTAGTCATAATTTTTATAAGTGTCTCAAATATCATTCAACATTATAATATTAACAAAATTATTTCACTTCCGGTGGTGACCTCATTTATAACAAAGGATCAAACACAATGTAATAAATTTATATAAATAAAAAAATTCACTTCTGGTGAAATTTATTTTATTTTTTTAACATCTAAAGATCTTACAACCATGGGAGTCCACAATGGATGTGATTTGTCCATATAAAACATTTTAAGCACCTTTGTTATATAAGTTTCTTGATGCACAAGAATTCCATTTTCTAAGTATTCAACTTGCAGTCCTAGACAAAACTTTGTCCTTCCTATATCCTTCATTTCAAATTCTTTCTTTAAGCAATCTATTATTTTTAAAAGCTCTTCAGGAGTTCCAATAATGTTTATGTCATCTACATAAACTATAATTATGGCAAATCCATTTTCAGATCTTTTTATAAATATACATGAACAAATTGGATCATTTTTATATCCTTCTTGTAACAAGTATTCACTTAGTCGATTATACCACATACGACCTGATTGCTTTAGCCCATATAGGGACTTATTTAATTTGATCGAATAATCTTCTCTAGAAATTGCATCGTCAGGAAAATTAAGTCCTTCTGAGAGTTTCATATAAATGTCAGCATCAAGAGAGCCATATAAATATGTTGTAACTACATCCATTAGATGTAAACTAAGTTTTTTCATGTACAACCAAACTAATTAAATATCGAAAAGTGTTTGCATCCACTACAGGTGAATATGTCTCTTCAAAATCAATACTGGGTCTTTATGAAAAACCTTGAGCAACTAGTCTTGCTTTGTATCTCATAATTTTACCATTTTCATTTCGTTTTTGCGCAAAAATCCATTTGAATCCAATTGGTTTTACACCTTTTGGTGTACATAGTACTGGTCCAAAAACTTTTCGTTTAACAAGCGAGTCTAATTTTGCCTTAATTGCATCTTTCTATTTTGGTCAATCATTTCTTTATTGAGAATGATATTATATATGAAATATAAGCTAAATATTAATTTAGAGCTTTTTAATGTTGATCTTTCCAATTTTTTAAAATTATTTTTAATCCTTATAGGATTATCCTTTCTCAATTTCAATATTTATAATATTTTTTTTTTTCAAAGTTTAGTCAATATAAGTTTATATTTTTTCTTTCTAATTTTTAGTTGTTAGTACAAAGTTACACGAACTAAAGTGAAATAAAATTATAATATATATTTAAAGAACTAAAATTTGAAAAATGCATATTTATAAGGATAAAAATTTAAAGAATTAAAATTGAGAAAACATGAACTTACAGAGACTAAATTCATATATAAATCAAAATAAACAAAAATATTTTAAATTATCATAATTAAGAAAATAAAATATACACGGACTAAATTCATATTGTAAACATATGAACTATATTTAAAATTTATGATGATGATATATATATATGTATGTTTTAAAAAATATATATGAGTGGAAATTCAGTTACTTCAAAAGTAACTCTTAAAAGAGTTATTTAATGAATGCAATTACGTTATATATTGAATTTCTTATTCAATAAATTAAGTCTAAAAATTTGTATACTTTATCTTTTAATCAATAGTTTTATTTAATAGATAATGTTAGATAATTTTAATAATTTTTAAAATTAGTATTAGATAATATTTAATAATTTTAAATATATTTTTAAATATTCAATAATTAAAAAAATGAAGAGATAACAAATAAGATAAAAAAATATATAAGTAAAATAAAAAATATATATAAGGAATTTCAAATTCTTACTTTTTTGGGAGAATTTGAAATTCTACTATTTCAAGAAATTTTACAAATACTTGAATTTCAAATTCTACAAGCAACGAAATCTTTTATTTGTGAGGGATTAGCGAAAAACCTTTTCCCTCCCTAATTTGCGATGGATTTGCGAGGGATGTACTTATAACTCATTAGCGAGGGATTTGCGACAAGAAAACTCCCTCGCTAGATGAAAAATTCGTTTTTATATTTTGGCTCATAATTTGGCGAGTGATTTGCAAGGCATTTGCGAGGACCTAAGTTTCTATCTAAATAAGCACTAGCTTTAGCGACGGATTTGCGAGGAGATAAAGGTTAGTCGCAAAATGATCCTATTTAGCGAGGGATATAAATCCAAGCTATTTCCTCGCTAATTAGTGAGGGATTAGAGAGGAACTATGTTCCTCCCCAGTCCCTCGCTAATTAGTGAGGAAATAGCTTGGATTTATATCCCTCGTTAAATTCTCTCGCTAATCCACGAAATTCTTGTAGTGGCCTAAGATATTGAAAATTAGGGTGTCCTAGTCTATTATTCCATAACATTACTTGGTTTAATGAAGACCACTCATGAAGATACACATTGGGCCTATCACAAGGTGGCTAGGAGCACTTAGAATTGGGCTAGCATAAAGATTAGTGGGCCCTATTTCCTTATTACTTGGGCTACTTCATGAAGCCCGTATTCTTTCATATTATATTATTATAGTATAGTATAGACATCATATTTGTGATCTTGTATTGTTGGCCTTCTAGATTAGGGTTTTGGGCCTTAAGACTTAATGGACCTATTTTTAGACTTATTAGCCTTGGGTTTTTTATTTTAGAATTTATTGTATAGGATTTATAGGGTTTATGTACATTGCACTTAAAGTTAAATGTAATTTAGAGCTCGTTTGCATTACATTTGAGTAATGTGCCTAAAGCATGCTCAAATCAAATATAAATGAAATCTTCTTGAAGCTTTTGGCACGCCAACCTCCATTCTTCCTTCTTCTACTTTTCTTTTCTTTTTCTTTTGTTCGGTGTAATTCACTCTTGAAGCTCGAGGATGAAGATCAAGGTCTTAGAAAGCCATTGGAGAAGGAATCATGCTTTATCCTTCAACTAACTTCCATCATTTTGGTATCATGAGCCATGATTAGCTTCCTTGAGATTTATTCTTTCTTTTCACCATTTAAAATTGTCAAAAATGTTCTTATATGTCTTGGTTGAGTATTGTTGAGGTAGAGCTAGATTTTTACATGAATTTGGATGGATCTACATGTTCTAGATTGAATTCCTTAATTTCTCAATCTTATGCTTTACTAGGTTTTTTTTTATCTTGTGCTTATTTTTCATTTGTTTGAGTCTTGTTCTTATTTGATTCAGTCATTTTGCTTCTAATTGCATGATTCTGATTTTTGAATCTTCAAGTTGTCTAGTAAGTCTTGTTTAGTTCTTTATATGTTATAAATTCAAATGGTAACTAGTTTAACCTAATTTTAGTATTCTTTTGCTAATCTTTTTTATTTGGCCAAATATATTGTGACCTTGTTTGGTGCTTAGTGCTTTTTATTTTACATATTTGATTTCATATCCATTATTAGAGTAATAGTGGATTCATAGAGTTAAGTTTCTATTATGTCTTTTTTAAATTTCAGATTTCATTTGCCTCCAAAAATTCAAATATCCCTTCAATTTTATTTGTTCAAAATTTTTGGCTCCAAAATTTAGGATACATATTCCTTGTGAATTTGAATTTTGAAATTTAAAATTTAAGTGCGACACATGCTAAGTGAAAACTAAGCTTGAGATTCTTTGAATCTAAGTGCACATGTATTTAAATTAATTCTCTTCACTTGGAAATTTAAATTTGAATTTAAAATACTACTAGTTGCAATTTCAATTTGATTTCTATTAAATTAAAAGAAAAAGGCCAAAAAGCTCCTAAATTAAAAAAAAAATGCAATTCAAATTCAAATTGCATAAAACAAGATATACAAATATTTGGAAGAAAAAGCTGAATAAAAGATAAAAGAAAATTTAAATATCAATTGATTTTTGCAACTAGATTCTTTGAGAAAAAAAGGTTCTACTCTAATTCTTTTTTTTTTCTTATTCCTTATTTTAGTTTTCTTAATCCACTCTAGAACCTTTATAGCACATTTCTCTTTGAGTGCTAGCTTTCTTTGAAAACTTAATTTTAGTTTTGTCTATTTTTGAATCTATTTGTGTATGTCAACATCTCTTTCTATTTGAGTTTAGTTTCTTTTAATTTTGTTTTTCTAGTCTTCTCTCATTAACTCTCTTGTTGTGTAAGAGATTTGGTTTGCTTTGTGCTTCTTTGTAGGTGGAGCAATCCTTATTTCATAAGGTAGCATCTTAGGTTGTTGTGGAGAGCCTAGGAGGGACAACTCCCTTGTGGAAAATTGGAGACTTGAAGAGCTACATCAAACACTAAGAGAGCAAACACTTGAAAGAAGTTCAAGAATTTTGCTTGTTTCATTTTGGGTAAAACTTGGCCATTCACTTGTGGAAGTGGTCTTATTGAGATTCCAAGTGTCTCCTTAAGACTTCCATTTTATTTGTACTTCTGCACTTATTTTCTTGAAAATCGTGTGCGAACGAAGGTCATTTGAAGGGTGCAAGAGCTGGTTTGCTTGAAAATCACCTATGAACGAAGGTCATTTGAAGCGTGTGAGAGCTAGTTCACTTAGAAATCATGCACGAACTTGGAGATTTGTTTAAGTGACACAAGAGCTCGTTTGCTAAAAAATCGCACGTGAATGAAGGTTGTGTGAAGGGTGTTAGAGCTCATTCGCTCGAAAATCATGCAGGAACTTGGAGGTTCATGTAAGGGACATGATAGCTCATTTGCTCAGAAATCACGTGTGCATGAAGGTCATGTGAAGGGCACGAGAACTTGTTTGCTTAGAAATCATGGATGAACTTTAAAGTTTGTGACTTTGCTTATGAGTGACATTGGGGGAGTCATATGACAATTGTTGCAACTTTGAAGAAAGGAAAAGAAGAAAAAAAAAAGGGTTTTGATAGTAAAATAATAAATAACTTTGTTGTATTTGCCAAATTTTTTTTATCAAAATAATATTGAATATAATAATTCATATATTAGTAAAGTGTACTTCATGCATGTACATAGCTAGCAATGATATCATATCATGGTGTGGATGACACATTCAAATATTAATAAAGTGTATTTCATTCATGTGTGTAGCTAGTAGTGATATTGATGTCTTATCATGGAGTAATAAAAGAATAACCTCCTTAATTTAGATTTCTACTGTAAAATGTTAGATTGAACCTATTTTGATGTTTATCAGTGGAGAGATCATGTTCATCTCGACAAGCCTTACAATGCTTATTTTGTAGGCATTGTACATTGGGCTCAACATGGTGATGTCGTCAGTGAAGGTATGGTTGCAATGTTTGTTGACAAGCTGCCTTATGGGAGCTTGAGGAGGGTAATGACTATCCTCATCGAGCTAGAAGTTTTGTGTGATGCTAGTGTCTTAGGTCAATATAGAGGTTGTGTAATCCTCTATTGTTAGGACACTGGTTTCTAAGTGGATGTTGTTCTCTTGGAGTAGAGCCCACAGTTCTTGTTTGTAATGTACGTGATTGGCTTCATAATGCACACAATTGGTCTCGTGTTGTCGATGAAGGGCTACCAAGGATTCTTCTAACGTCTTTGAATGGCTTTCATGCATTGTAATAATTCGACATTGGATAGTGTGATACTCGAGCCTATGGTGAATCAGGGTTTGTTGTGAAGGTTCTAACTATGTTGTTGTTCATTGTTTGGTTTCGAGTGAGAATCATGTGTGGCTAGAGGATAATTCCACCCTATGATGGATGCCAAATGTTCCTACCAAAATTTTCTAGTGCTCTAACGACAAGGATGATGTTTTGTTTGCTCCGATATCTACAACGATGGGGACACTTGCAAAGACACTCCAATGATCAAGTTAGAGGAGAGTTTAGGTTAAGAATGAAAATAGGCTAGAATGATACCTTGTGCCCTACATATAGGTGATTAATCTTTTCTTTAAGTATTGAAATGATGTTGTATGATATCTTAGAGATATATTTCGATGATTGCATGAAAAATATTATTATTGATTAACGAATATATTATTCCTGATAAGAAAAGATATTTTGCCAGGTGAATATAATGTGATTGATTACGGTATTCTAGAAGAAATTAATGTCAAGATATCTCATTAGTTGTTAAGAGTTAACCGCTTATAGTTTCACTTTATAATGATTAGCTGAAAGCCTAGTGTGAGGAGTAGGACAAGGCCAAGTTGACCTAATCAAGTTGGGTGGTACATAATCATTTGAAATTATCTCATCATAATTATACCAATTTCTAAAATTAAACATAATTATAGAAAAACAAAATTTACACTTCTCCTTTTGTTATTATAAAGATAAAGATAAAGATAAAGTTTTTTCTCCTTCTAAACATTAATTAGGTGAAAAATAATAAAGTAGAAATAAAAGAATGTAAAAAATATTAAGGGTAATTTTTGAAAAGTAATCCAAGTTATTGATAAATTTAATGTTATTAACTAAATTACTAATTATATATGTGTGTGTGAGAGAGAAGGGGTTTAAGTGATCTTGATGTAATTTTTATCAACTATTATACAACTCAATAATTTTATATTAAATATAATTTTTTAAAATTTATCATTAGAGTAAAAGTTTCTTACTTTTAGATCATATATACAAAATTTTATATTAATCTAAAATGATTTGATACTTCATTCTTATAGAATAGAATTGATATAATATATATATATATATATATATATTTTAAAATTTATTAAAATATAAACATTTTGATCATTTTTAAATTATTATTTAATTTTAATAAAATTTAATATAAACATATAAGATGGTATAAAATTATAATTCAACAAAATTTATATTTAAAATAAAATTATTAAATAATATAATAATTACTAAAAATTACACACTTATCATTATATAAATAAAAGAACACTTATGGTTACAATTGTTCGTCATCCCCACCCACTTTTTACTCTTTTCGATTTACTCTATTTATTTATACAATTTAATAATTTTTAAAACTTTATTTTTATGCTCAGTGTATCTTTATCCATTTGATTCGCTGCAAACGAATGGCTGGGACAAAGCGAGTTGCCCTTAGTCACCATTCTTCAACTGATTCGAATGAGGCTCAGTGAAAGGTAAGAACCCATCTCATGCTGCTTCCTCAATTATCCCTGCGACTTCTTAGAACTTCAATTGTTTGAAAGTTGGTTTTCCTCTTTTGCTTCTAAATTTCTGAGAAATGATTAGCGTTTGGCCCTTCAAAGTTAACCACTGGGAGGTCCCTCGCTTTGATTTAGGCCCTTCTGGTGTCACTGATCTGAACAGGAGAAGGAGGGTGAAACTGGGTTTTGTTTTTTCCGTTTCTCGTGGTGCAAAAGTTAGTGTTTTTCAGTGTTCAAGAGGGTATGGAACTGTGGTATTTTCTAGACACCCAAAATTGGATTTTAGATGTGGGTTTATTTTGGGATGTTCTGGGCCCAAATTTGGTATCATTTTGAACCCAAACAAGAGTCATGTTGGAGACTTGGCTCCACCCTTGGGGTGGGCATTGGAGGAGGAAGGTGTTGAGAGTGAATTGGTTGGGGAGAAGATGGATTCTAATGATGAATTAGTTAAGGAGAAGATGGATTCTAACGAAGAATCGATTAGCTGTGGGTTAGAGAGTGTAAATTCTTTGAATTTGGATCAAGTTCAGGACAGTGATTGTGAACAAAAATTGCATGCTGATCACAGTAGCAAGGAAGGTGGCAAAGAGGAGTGTGATGGTAAGGTTGATGTTAGAGCTCTTGCCTTGAGATTGCGGACAGCGAAGACAGTGGAGGATGTGGAGGAGATTCTTGAGGACAAGGGGGACTTGCCTCTCCAGGTGTTTTCAACGGTGATTAGTGGTTTTGGTAAAGAGAAAAGAATGGATTCCGCATTGATTCTTTTTGACTGGATGAAGAAGAGGAAGGTAGAAACGAATGGAATCTTTGGCCCTAACCTTTTCATATATAATGGTCTATTAGGTGTAGTTAAACAATCTGGACAATTTGCGAAAATGGAGGCCATTCTCAATGAAATGGCTGAAGATGGAATCACCTATAATGTTGTGACATACAACACCTTGATGGCAATTTATGTTGAGAAAGGAGAGTGTGATAAAGCTCTCAATATGCTTGAGGAGATCCAGAAAAATGGCCTTACCCCGTCTCCGGTATCCTATTCTCAAGCCTTGTTGGCATATCGGAGAATGGAAGATGGCTATGGAGCTCTAAATTTCTTTGTGGAGTTTAGAGAAAAATATCGTCAAGGTGAAATAGGAAAAGAGGGTGACGGAGAAGATTGGGAGAAAGAATTCATGAAGCTTGAGAAGTTCACTATCCGTGTTTGCTATCAAGTAATGCGCAGTTGGCTTGTCAGTCGTGATAACTTAAGCAACAATGTGTTGAAGTTTCTTGTTGACATGGATAATGCTGGGATTCAGCTGACGCAGGCTGAACTTGAGCGGCTTTCGTGGGCTTGTACCCGTGAAGATCACTACATTGTTGTGAAAGAGCTGTACAATAGAATAAGAGGAAGGTATGATAAGATCAGCTTGTCTGTCTGCAACCATGCAATTTGGTTGATGGGGAAAGCCAAGAAGTGGTGGGCAGCGTTAGAGGTATATGAAGATTTATTGGACAAAGGACCAAAACCAAATAACTTGTCATATGAACTGGTAGTTTCCCACTTCAATTTTCTTCTCAGTGCAGCCAAGAGAAAAGGAATTTGGAGATGGGGTGTTAGGTTGTTAAACAAGATGGAGGATAAAGGCCTAAAACCGGGAAGTAAGGAATGGAATGCAGTTCTTGTGGCCTGTTCCAAGGCTTCAGAAACTACTGCAGCTGTGCAAATATTCAAGAGAATGGTGGAAAATGGTGAAAAACCCACTATAGTATCATATGGGGCTTTATTGAGTGCACTTGAAAAGGGGAATCTCTATGATGAAGCGCTCCGTGTGTGGGACCATATGGTCAAGGTTGGGGTTGAACCAAATGCTTATGCCTACACAATCTTGGCTTCAATTTATACTGCACTGGGAAATTTTAATAGAGTTGATGCCATCATTCAGGAGATGGTAACACTAGGAATTGAGGTAACGGTAGTGACATACAATGCAATAATTACCGGTTGTGCACGGAATGGTATGAGCAGTGCAGCATATGAATGGTTTCACCGAATGAAAGTTCAGAACATCTCCCCCAATAAGATAACTTACGAAATGCTGATTGAGGCCCTTGCAAATGATGGAAAGCCAAGGCTGGCATATCAGTTATATACGAGAGCTAAGAACGAAGGCCTTACCCTCTCTACAAAAGCTTATGATGCAGTTGTACAATCCTCTCAGGCCAACGGTGCAACCATTGAATTAGGTCTTTTAGGACCTCGCCCTGCTGATAAAAAGAAGACAGTGCAAATTAGAAAAACATTGACCGAATTCTACAACTTGGCTGGTGTTCCCAGGAGAAGTAGTAAACCGTTTGATAGAAGTGAAATTTATCACTCACAGACACAAGAAAGTCCATAAGTAGTTTAATACATTGAAATTAGCATAGTCAAATATTTTGTAGCCTCTGTACATTCTGCTCTGTCATAGCTTGAGATTTTTTGTATCCTTAGCCAAGAAGGTAAGAGAATCACAGTCATGTTTTCTTCCACTTTTCTTAGCAAAATAGAGATGTAACCCATTTTGCGGAACTATCATTAGAATTATTGCTCAAATTCTGCTCAAATATTTGAAAGGACATGGAAATTTGTCCCTCTTAAGTATAGTATAATATTAATCTTGACAGTTTTTCCAATTGCTGCCATTATTCGTTTCTTCATGAAAAGGAAAGATTTGTTGTTGGTGTTATTTTGTATTCCGAATGAAATCTGTTCTTTTATTTTATGAATTTTGTATGGTAGGTTGTGTCCTCAGTATGATTGAATTGACATTTGTTGAAATTTATTTAGATATTGATGTTTTAATTGCTGCAAATCCATGCATGATGCGGATATAGTATCATTTTCCGTACAAATTATGTCTGTTTCTGTCAAACATATTTGAGAAACTCCTCGCCATTTTTTTGCTATGGTTGGATTTACATTGCACAAAGTTGGGCAGGACATAGGGAAAGGGTTATTCTCTTGAGATCTTTAATTTTGTTTCTTTGTTATTTCTTCTTTGGTGTTACTGATTATTGGGACAACCAAAAGGTAAGGTGATGCAACAAATTTGAAGCCAAATATTCAATTAACTTTGTTGCATAGAATAGTTACTTGCCATGTTCCTTTTCCTTTTATATCCATATACTTCTTAAATCTCTTGAAGTAGTTGCATTAGGTGATTACAATCTGTTAGGAACCAACCATCGGAAAGGAAAACGGATGGTTGAACAGAATCAAACCCAAAGAACTGCAAGCAAAAAAAAAAAAAGAATAAGTACTTGTTTGTTTACTGTTTTTAAAAACATTTTTCTCTTTTTCAAAAGTTGTCTATTGAGCACATTTGAAAGTTCCCGAGCGTAGTTCTGTTTTCTAAAAGTTTATCTCCTGAGAACATGAGCAGAAACATTTGATTTGAGTAAGCATTTTGTTTTTGTTTTTTATTTTAAAAATAATTTTCAAAACCTAATAGATTTTTGAATTAGAAATTGATTATTAGCCAATGTAAAATTGTTTTAGATTTTTCTTAAAACGAAAAAAATAAGTGAGAAAGGAATCAAATAAGCCCTAATATTCCCTATTGATAAGTTTCACATAGAACCAGATGCTTGGATCCTTAGCTATATAGTCTTTGCCTTGAATCTTGATACATTACCAAAATAAACCTCCTTTTCTTCTGTTTACAGCATCTCTATTTTAATATAACTGAGTAATTCTCACCGATGAATCTTCTGAATTTCACTTATATAAAGTTTTGAATCTCATTCATCAACACCATTATTCCATATTCTGCTTTACCTCTCTCATCATAACTCTTACTCTTGTGAGATGACAAATATTTGTATGTATAACCCAATCACTATTTAAGGTGAGAAATCAGTTGGGGGAAACCGATTTCTCACTTTTCAATTTCAGCCCCTTTCCCATTTTGTATATCATATCTATTTGAGAAATCAGTTGTTGAGAAACCGATTTCTCAATAGGTTTTTTTTTAATTGTTTTTAATTTTTTTTTGTTTTCAATTTTTGTTAAACTTTTTAAATTTAAAAAATATTTTAATAAATTTATAATTAAAATTTAATAAAACAATTAATCTTTTTTGGTTATATATACATATATTTAATAACTAATTTATTTAAAACTGAATAATTAAATTAAATACATTAATATATTTTATACAAAAAATACATATTTTGTTTAAAATTTTTTAAATATGTATATATTTTTATTTTCTTTTTCTCATTAAGTTTTTTAATATATTTTATAATTTAAATATTTTAAATTTA